AGGACTTGCACTGAGCATCACAGGGGCCCTTTGTGCAAAGTTGCCAGCCTAGTGTCTGCTCAGTAGCAAGTGCCACATTTGGTAGCTGCAATCATTGCTTTTGGCAAGGGAGGTGACCTGGGCTCTAGGTGCTGTTGAGCATTCTGTCCATGCCTATGCCAGCTGAGGGCTCCAAACTTTCAGAAGGTTCCACCTGTTCAGTATTATCTGGTTCACTTCTGGAGGGAGAATAATGAATTTATCTTTGTGCTGCCTGCGAGTTCAACTTGCCTTCCTATTCCTTTGCCTGTTTAGAAAGCTCCTATTTTGTGAGTGGGGCAGGGGATCTTACTACTAAGAGAACGGTTTCCACGCTAGAAGAGCTTTCAGATTAAGAATTACAGCTTCGCTCAGTGCTCTGCCTCTGTGTTATCCACTTCAGTTGCCACCAGCCACATGTGGCCACGAGATGTGCTGTAAGAGTAAAGTATATACACTGGATTTTTAAGACAATACAAAAAAATGCAAAATGTCTCCTTGATTTTATATAGTGATTTTGTGTTAGAGCAATAAGATTTTGGATAAATTGGGTTACATAAAATATTTCTTTTTCTAATGTGGTTCCTGGAAAACTTTAAAGTGTATATGTGGGTCATTTTAACATTTATAATACAAGTGATGACAATACATGATTTGTCATGGGGCAGGATATGACTGGGTCTCAGAGACAAATAAATAAATAGTGGTTGCTCTCACTTCTGGGACGGACTACTGTTACCTTCATGAGCATCTCTTGATTGCCTATGAAGATTTGAGTTTTTCTGAGAATGTAGTAAAACTGCGTGTTATGCTTTTATTTATACAGCTCTGCTGCATAACTACTATCGGGAAGGTGCTGTGGTTGGCATTATAGAGGGGAGAGGGCATTGGTAAAATTAGGGAATTCATATCATAACTTAGCTAAAATGTTAGATACATAGCATAAATTTAATAAATATTTGTTTAAAAAAATGCAAAGGTGCTCACGTTCTATTTCTGTTGGACAATGCTGACACACACCATCTCACTTCAGTCTCGGAGTAACCATCTGAGGTAGGTGGAATTATTACCATTTTACAGAGGAGGAAACTGAAGCTAAGAGAGGTTAAGTCACTTTGACTAAGGTCAAAACTAGAGACAGGATTCGTGTCTCCACAGCCTGTGCTATTCCTTTCGGCTCTTCTACTGAATAGAACAAATGAATGAGTTTGACCTCGTGCTGTATGTACCCTGAGTATCAGCTGATTCTGGAGTTGGGGGCCAGGGGGTTGTCACTGCTGGATAGATTTTGGGGGGATTTTCTTCTTCAGGATCCCAAAAATATTGCCATAAATTATTTTATGTTAAGACCACATGCTAGAGAGACAGCAATAACAGCAGGTAGAGGACAGAACTGGGGTTCAGGAACCACAAGTTCTAGGCCCGGATTTTCTATGTGACCTTGGGCAAGTCATCTCAGAGGCTCCTCACCTAAAAAATGAAAGACAGGAACGTAATGAGTCTCTTCTGTTCTGATGTTCATAATTCCATCGGCGAGATCAGCGTGGCCCAGGGGTCCTGGCTTACAGGTTCACCCGAGCTTGGCGATCTTTTCTTTTCCGAGAGTGTTGCTAAGAGGCACAGAAATTTTGGCTATGCCACTGTTATATCAAACTATAACAGGAGGAAGTTGGCTCTCAATGGCCATTGTGTGTGTAATATATTTTATATATGTGTAGATATACATATATATGTGTGTGTATATATACATACACACTATATATATAAAACTTAGTTTCATACATGCACATACTATACATATATATAGCTGTCTCTTTATACATATAGCTCATACATATACATGCTTCTCTCTTTCTCTCTCTATATCCATCATACACACAGTATACATGTATAAATAAATATATAAATAAAAAAATATAAAAATATATCACACAGCCTATCTGTATATATAGGGGTGTGTGTGTGTGTGTGTATATATATATATATATATATATATATAGCATGTGTGTGTATGAGACTTTAGCTAAGTTTTTTTTCATATACCTCAAATATTTTTGGAATATAGAAGGCTTAGAATAAGTAAATACATTTTTAGAAAGTATTAAAGTAGAAACAAGGAGCTTTTAAACTATTAACTGCCCAGGTTTTTTTGCTTTTTTTTTTGTCAAGTACAAACTATATTTAGTTTCTTCTCCCTGCCGTCTGCTGGTAATTCTCCTTTAGGAAAAAGATCTCAGATGTGCACTGCGCTAACCAGGATGCCTCATAACAGAGTGGAAAGAGCGTGAACAGTCAGACAGTCTGAATTTCAGATCTAGCCTCTGACTCTGTCCCTTAGGTGTTGAATGATTGGGATTCCAATCTGATTGGGATTTCCAGAGTCTGAATACAGAGCTGTAAGATGGGGAGAGCAATACCCACCGCAAAGAGTAGAGCTGTCTAGTGTGGAGGAGCTACTCCCTCCCTCGCTTCACCCACCCCACCCCCTGAACACGTGCACACATGCAAGCACACATGTACACACACAAACATATGCACACATACACAAACATGCGTGTGCATGCATGTGCACATACACACACACACCAAACATGTAAAAAGTAGACATAGCTGGTCCATCTGGTCGACCCACATGGGTAGTTAAGAAGGAAATGGAATTTGACTGGAACATGCTGAAACTTGCAGTTGAGTAAGGAAAAGCCCTATTAAATTGAGCTCATCCAATCAGTAGAACCATTCTTGAACCACATCTTGCTTATCCATCCCCCCTAAACATTTTTGTTTCTTTTTCTCTAAATATTTATGTCAGCTGATCTTGTGAGTCTCTTCCCCAGTGTTCTGTGATTCTCGAAAAATTTCCACCTATTTAATTTAATATAAATTTTTCAAAACAGCTAATACATTTGATATCTGAGGGAGGTACATCAATTGATTTTATCATAAAAATGGAAGCCCTCAATGTTGTTCTTCTTTTGGACAAGTTTTAAACTAATTAGGTGAATTTTAAACTTGGTATAAAGAAGATAATGGGCCCTCTTGACGGAGAACATTTTTACTGGCTCTGTAAATCCCACAGTTCCCAAACCAGGCCTGTCTCTAACCTTACCTAACTGTTTAGACAAAGATTACTTAAAAGAGAGCTTCCAATCTCCTCTTTCTAGGAGAGGATCAAACATGGATTGTTGTTTATGAGCTCCCTAAAAACATGAACCCTGACTCGTCTGTCTTGGGAACCCCATGCAACCTCGCCCAGCTGTGTCTCTGTCCATGAGGGATTTTAATGCCTAAATGTGATAAATCTCAGATTGTTAAAGAGGAAAAAGCATAAAGGAGGCAGTCTGTGGAAAGAGAGCCCTGGGTTTAGAGTTTTGAATTTGGGCTATGAATTTTGAACTGGAGTAAGTTTTTTTGTCCTTGGGCAACACTCTTATCTATAATTGTCCCGCCTTCTGACCTTACATGGTAAGGTTGTGGTACAATCAATGGAGCAGACTACGAGACCACTTTATAAAAAGTAAAACTTTGCGGTCATACAAGTTTTTTGCTCTTTCTGTTCACCTCACCTGTTTATCCTTCTAGGCCCACCTCAGACATTTCCTCTACTATGAAGCCATCCCCAATTGTTTCAGGCCGCATGAATGAACATATGCCCTCATAGCACCCTGCCTAAACGATAATTGTAACACATATCCTGATGCCTGTGGTCAGGTTGTATCAATTAACCTTTGCCAAAATTGTGCTGCAATACAAACCACCCCAAAACTCGACGGCTTAAAGCCACAATGATGCTTTCTTACTCATCAGCCGGGATGGTTGTGTCGCACACAGCAGACTTGCAGGATGGCTCTGCTGCATGTGTCTCTCATCTTCCTCCTAGGACCAGCAGCTGACCAGAGCACATTCTTCTCATTGTGTTGGCAACAGTGCACGAGGGCAGGTGTAAGCACACAAGGCCTCTTAAGGCTGGGGTCTGGTGCATTGTTTCTGCTCACACGACAGTGGCCAAACCCAAACCAAATTGCTGGGAAGCACACTCCCCTGACAAGGAGGCCATGGCAAGGGCTGGATGCAGGGAGGGGTGAAGAATTGGGACTAAACATTCAATCTTTCATACAGTCTCCCCCGCCCTATTAGAGTAGCAATCAATCTTCCATACAGGGTCACCTGCCCTATTAGATCAGGAGCCCCTGGTGGGTGAGAGGACAGGAACAATGCCTGCTTCTATATCACCTGTCCCTCTGCCTGGGGCTGGCAGGGAGTGGATATTTCATTGATGTTTGCTGAGGTCCAAAAGACCATTCCAACCCTTGCCTTCATAGCAGGGGTTGGCAAACTATGGCTGCAGGCCCAAATCTGGCTCTGTTTTCATACAAACAGAGATCTAAATTGTTGGGAAAAAAATCAAAAGAATAATAATATTTAATAAGTATGAAAATGATATGATGGGCCGGCCCCGTGGCTTGGTGGTTAAGTGAGCGCGCTCCACTGCTGGCGACCCGGGTTCAGATCCCGGGCGCGCACCGACGCGCTGCTTCTCCGGCCATGCTGAGGCCGCGTCCCACATACAGCAACTAGAAGGATGTGCAGCTATGACACACAACTATCTACTGGGGCTTTGGGGGGAAAAAATAAATAAATAAAATCTTTAAAAAAAAAAAAAAGAAAATGATATGAAGTTCAGATTTGTGTCCGTAAATAAAGTTTTATTGGAACACAGCCATGCCCATTCCTTTGTGTATTGTCTATGGCTGCTTTAGAGCAAAACAGCATGCTTGGAGTTGCCATAGAGACTGTCTGTCGTGCAAAGGCTAAAACATTTACTCTCTGGCCCTGTACAGAAACTGTTTGCCACTCCCTGCTTTGTGGGATAAAGAAACAGACAGAGCCCCAGGCAAGTGAATGCCGTGCCCAAGACTACAGAGTTGTCAGCTCCATTAAGCCCTGTTTATTTGGGGTTAATATGTTCCCCCTTTGTTTCCTAGTAATTGGCGGCCTGCGACACCCATGTGTCACTGATCAGGAGGCATTCCCTGCTGCAGCGCTTCATGACCCAGCGGCGCCCGGCCCAGTGAAGCCACCGTGGTGTCCAGCATGGCCGCGCTGCTTCTGGGCGCGGTGCTGCTGGTGGCCCAGCTCCGGCTGGTGCCTTCCCGCCCCGCCGTGCCCGGAGCCGAGCCCGGCCAGCAGGAGCTCCTGCGGAAAGCCGCCACCCTGCGGGACGAGGTCCGGGGCGGCGCGGCCCCCAACGGCTCCGCCCAGCAGCTGCCGCAGACCATCATCATCGGCGTGCGCAAAGGCGGCACCCGCGCGCTGCTGGAGATGCTCAGCCTGCACCCCGACGTGGCGGCTGCCGAGAACGAGGTCCACTTCTTCGACTGGGAGGACCATTACAGCCAGGGCCTGGTCTGGTATCTCAGCCAGATGCCCTTCTCCGCCCCGCACCAGCTCACGGTGGAGAAGACCCCCGCGTACTTCACGTCGCCCAAAGTGCCTGAGCGGGTCCACAGCATGAACCCGTCCATCCGGCTGCTGCTCATCCTGCGGGACCCGTCGGAGCGCGTGCTCTCCGACTACACCCAAGTGTTCTACAACCACGTGCAGAAGCGCAAGCCCTACCCGTCCATCGAGGAGTTCCTGGTGCGCGACGGCCGGCTCAACGTGGACTACAAGGCGCTCAACCGCAGCCTCTACCACGTGCACATGCAGAACTGGCTGCGCTTCTTCCCGCTGCGCCACATCCACATCGTCGACGGCGACCGCCTCATCAGGGACCCTTTCCCCGAGATCCAGAAGGTCGAGCGGTTCCTGAAGCTGTCGCCGCAAATCAACGCCTCGAACTTCTACTTTAACAAAACCAAGGGCTTCTACTGCCTGCGGGACAGCGGCCGGGACCGCTGCTTACACGAGTCCAAAGGCCGGGCACACCCCCAAGTGGACCCCAAACTCCTCAATAAACTGCACGAATATTTTCACGAGCCGAATAAGAAATTCTTTGAGCTTGTCGGCAGAACATTTGACTGGCACTGATTTGCAATAAGCTAGGAACCTTTCCTATTGTAAGTTACCGTGTACATCTAGGGGGAAAAAAAAGAATTTTAAAAGGGCATTTAAGCTATAATTTATTTGTAAAATCCATAAATTACTTCTGTACAGTATTAGATTCACAATTGCCATATATATACTAGTTATATTTTTCTACTTGTTAAATTGAGGGCATTTTGTATTGTTTTTCATGGTTGTTAATGTGTACTATGTCTCTATATGAAGGAACTAAAATATTTCATTGCAAAAAAAAGAAAAAAAAAATTCTGGAGACACTGTCGTTTTTGAGTATAATTAACTTTGCCCCCAACTCGAAATAGCTGCCTGTGTTGCACTTATTGCAGAATCTATATTCCTTTGTTCCTTAAAAAAAAAAATGTTTTTCAAGGCTATTATGTTCCTCTCTCCTCCTCTCCTTTCTTCGTTGCTCTTTTTAATTTTTAATGTCTTGCTGTGGTCATCAGATTTATTTTTCACTTGCGTTGTTAAGTTTTATCTTCGCTGAGATCCCTGTTATTCTTAGAGGCAGCAGGTTCACCCACTCTCAACTTGAGCAGGTACCTGAGTGTGGAGTTTAACCCCACGTAAACTCAGAGTGGACAAAGCAATGTTAAGACTGGAGGATTAGTTAATAACTAGCAAGAGGCCCATGTGATACATCTTTGCTTCAAAGACTGCTTGCATCTGTTTCTGATCCCAGCAATAGGCGAAACCCATAATAAAGGTAGGTGAAACCAGCAATAAAGAAGATTGAACCACCGGCCTTCAGAATGATCTTGGGGCTGTGTACTTTGCCCCAGGTGGCAGTGGGTCTCCGGAAAGCCACTTAGAATAGAAAAGAGGAATTATCAAATCTGTGTATCCCTGTCTTAGTAGATTCTGTGAAAAGCTGACTTAAAGGGGTAGCCTTTTGCTTTGGTTGGGAGTCTGTTTATCTATTTCCTGAAAGATCAATATGCACTTATAGGCATATATTCCATATGTATTGAGACATAAATATGTGTATTTACGTGTTTAAAAATGAGTTCCAAATTTGGAGCCCTGAATGTGAAAGAAAATTTAAACTCCTGAGGGTTGAAATTGAAAAGAGAAAAGCACAAAGAGGAGGGTACCCCATAAGGAACCCCTTGCACTGTGCCTAGAGGTGAGAGGCCTCATTCTAGTTTCACTTCTGCCTCTGAGCAGCTGGGCTGTTGGAGGTGGCCACAAGCCCTCTGAGACTATTTTCTCATGCAGTCTTCCTTCAGCCAGCCTTTTACAGAATTGGATTTTTTTCTTATTATGAAAGCAAAACATATTCAATTACGGTAAAACAAAAAATACAAACAAGCAAAATAAACCCGTTTCCTCATACAGTTTATACTTAAAGCAGAGAAGTGAAATGGACATTACATATAAGAACTCATTGCGATCTCCCCAAGCAACCCCAGGAAATAGGAATTATTGTGGTGAGTTCAAAGAGGAAGAAATAAACCCGAAGAAGATAAGGAACTCACCCAAGATCACACTGTCTATAAGCTGGGGTTTGGAGTCCACTTAGAGTCAAAACACAGATTTTTTTGTTTTTTTCTACCCAACTTTTTCTGAACTCAAAAGGAAAGGCCCAGACTCAGAGAGTTCCTCCCGACTTGACCTGACCTATTCCTTCCCTGGTACCAAATGTCTTCCATCCCAAGAGGTGTGCCTGAGCCAGAGGAAAGGGCAAGAATGAACCTGCATTTTTCTCAGCAGCGCTATCAGGAAAATGAGTCACCTTGGATACATTTCAGCAGCAGCAGCCTGGCCTGACCTTAGCATGGCCCACGCCCCACCCCAGGGAGTGTGTGGACAGCAGACAGAAGGCCTTCCTCTTCAGAACCCATTAAGGTTGTCTTTAAACAACCAACTCCCCAGAGGGTGTGGTAGAAATAGTTACAGCAGGCTTCCCCTTGGCATTGTACTTTGCAATCTGCAGAGTGCTTCCCTCTGCAGCACATCATTGGATCTTGCTTTTATCACACCCATTTCAGAGCTGAAGAAATGAGAGGCCCAGAAAGGTTAAACGGAGTTCCAAGGTTGTCCGGGAATTTGGTGACTGAGTGGAGACTCCAGTGTGAGTTTTCTGACTCCCAAGAAGATGCTCTTTGCAAAATATCTAGGAATGCCTGTGACCTAATGTGTATGGTATGCTTAAAGCATGCACTGTTGGGGCAAGAGGTGGTGGGTGGGAATGGGGGAAAGAAGGATCAACCACTAGGGACATGATCTAGCTGCTGGGGCTGGCACAGTTGATGGCAGGGAGTAGTCCAATGTAAAATGATCAGTGGGTATAAGTTCAATCATTGTTGATTTAGGGGTATGGGGTCTTGACTAAGGAGGTGTTCATGAAGGTCTACCAGAGGCAAGGGGTCAGGACTACTAGTGGCTATGTCTATTCTTCCATGTATGATACAACCCAGCCAGCTATTCAGAAGATGCAAGGAGTAAGAAACCATTGTTCCAGACCTAGCCCAGGCACTTAGATCTCATCTGAGCACTGCAAAATTCGGAGGAGGCCCTATGGTAGACCTGGGCCTACCTTCATAAAGGCCCAAATGCAATGACTCAGGAGCCAGATGGACACCTGATCCCTCTCCAAACATGTCTAATACCAACTCTATTAACAAAGATAGAGATGCCAGACCAGCCCAGGCCCGGTGGCAGCCTAGGGGCTTCTAGGTGGGGGCCTTCCAGAGAGACAGCTGAGCAGACCTCAGCTATTATATTTGGAATATTCCCTGCATTTGATGTTTGTGAATCAGGATAGCCCCTGCCCCCTTCCTTCCTCTGGGAATCAGATAGTGCCGAAATCCTATTAATACTGTTTGGTTATCAGCTCATAGCCTGAAAATTTGCTAGGTTAGCAAAAATGATGATGTGCCTCTCTGAGCACAGGGTGCCTTGCTCTTTCTATCCTGGGAGACTGTTAACTCAGCTAAAGGGAGATGTAGGGCAGAAGAGCCAGTGACCAGGGTGCCTGCTACTTACAGGGGTGGAATCAAATCACCACCAAGAGTTCAGGTAATCTTAAAATTGTATTTATCTTTTGAGCCCCTACTGTGTGCTGAGCGTAGTATGAAACCCTCAGGAGTATAAAAGAAAATGCAACAAGAAATGTCATTAACTGTTCTGGGTTTAAATAAAAAATACAAGGGGATAGGAAGGCAGGGGAAATGGCATTTACCTGTGTGTGGACTGGCCAGGGCAGTGTGTTCGGTACTTTCTCATTTAATTTAGTAACATCCTTGGGAGAAATCAACTAGCCCCATTATAGAGAGGAGGAAACTGAGGTATAAGAAATGGAAGAAAGAGAGGAACTACTCACTCCAGGGGAATGGTTGTCCTGGAGATGGGGAGTGTTGGCCTCAAGGATCACAAACAGAAGGTGAGAGATGACAGAGATGTCTCTCATAATGCCATCACTCAGGAGTAGTAAGAGATGAAGAATCTTGCCACCCAAGGGTCACATGGTAGAGCTATGACCCTGGTCACTTAACTTGTGGGCCACAGGGACTCTGCTCTTTCCATGGGAAAGCTTCTTGGAGGAATTGCCATGAAGCTGGAGCATAGAAGCCAATGGATGTAAGCAGAGCAGGGCATTCTGGGCAAGGGCAGCTCGAGGAATCAAGACAGTGGTGATGGGGAGGAGAAGGGGGTAGGGAAGATGCAGGCAAGAGACCTGTTTACTGGCAATGGGAATGGATTAATCACACTGAGAACTCACTATACATCAGGCACTTGTGACCTTGACATCTGCTTTCCAAGTGGTGGAAGCTTACTTAGCAGGCACCTCTGTGTCTCTGACTCCTGTGCAGGTGTGTCTGTCACACAAAATAACTATCGTTTATTGCGTACCTGCTATGTGCTTGGTATTTTAAATATGTTGCTTCTAATCCACATAAAAATTCTGAGAAGTAGGAAATGGCAATGGCATAGTACTAATTTTACAGAGGCGAAAACTCAAATTCAGAGATTAAAAGGCTTGCCCATGATGCCAAAGCCATTGATTGTTACAACTGGAATTTAGTCTCCCATGTCCTCGCTCTGCTGTTTTTCAGTCCATGCAGTCGTGGGTAAAGGGAGAAAGAAAGAAAGCATAAGCGTCTGTCTATTAGGCAAGCCTGTAAGGGAAATGATGGGCATCCAGCATGCAAAGATGCACAGATAAGATTATACCAGATTGTGTTCTAGCAAGAGTGGCTGGGACTTCATACAACAGGCAGATGATAAAGCATGTTCCTTACTGGCAGATATTCATTTAGGAAGCCTGAGCTTCAGCTAAAGACCAGAGCAACACAGCGGAGCTCTCCAGATGGCAAACCAAGAGTGAGGGCCAAAGCTACAGACTCTCTCTGAGTGGCTTGACTGAAGTATTTTGATATAGGAAATGGCCTTGGTTCTTCAGTTCATCCTGATAGCAAGATCTTTATTCCATTTCCCCCAAATTTCCCAGTTAGGTAGCTGGAGAGAAAAGGCAATTAGAGCCAAGAGATGAGGGCGTGAATCCTGACTCTACCAATGATTGGCAATGTGGCCTTGGGTGCAAGTTCTCAGAACCTCAATTTCCTTCTCAAAATAAATTTACTTATCTCTGTTTTGGGGAAAATTCAATGAGATAAAGTAGGTAAAATCTATAAACTCAGTGGCTATGTGGCTTAATGGTTAAGAGCATTTAAGACTGTGGGAGACCAACCAAAACTGGTTTTGAACCAGTCAGCAGTCACCCATTGCCTTTGTTTCCCCATCCACTTCCCAGCTATGGGGCTGTTAGTGCCCTATCCAGAGCCCATTTACCAGGGAAACACCCCACACCCAGCTGCCAGAAGAGTTGGCCGCTAATCGCTCACTCTGTGCTGTTTTCTAGATGGCAAGAGTTGCCTTACCTGGAAGGGCCTGAGAAGTTATGGCCACCCTGCTTCTCCACTTTCCTTGGGGTCCCTTCTGACTAATGAGTGACTGATGTGTGGTGGGGGGCGGGGGCTTGGGGTTGTGAGGAAGCAGCCCAGCCTCCTGGCCTCTGGGCAGGACAAGCTCTGTGGTAATGCTCCAGGGCTCCTCATGGATCAAGGTCAGGCTAGATGTCTCTTGAAACCATGCTTTTCCTTAGCTTCTTCCCCTATTTTATCCTGTGTCTCTCAGGGCCTTACCCATTTCTTCTATAATCCCATTCTTAGTAAATGACTTACCCAAGAATACAGGAATCCTCATCTTAGGCTTTGCTTCTAGGGCATCCAA